GGCAAAATGGTGTTTGACTGCGGCGCAGCAACGCAACCGCCGCGCATCCTCGATCGGCCGATTCTTATCGCGCTTATAGCGTTATGAGGGTCGGCCGGTCTGAATCGACCGACCCTTTTAACGCTTATAAGCGCAATAAGAATTCTTATGAAGTATGGAGATACCCTAAATGGCGCCAAAGACTTAGTACTTATATGAAGCAGAGCAGGGCGCGAAGAATATTTATTAACGTGGATTTTCACGACTCTTGAAGAACCTTATTACTGAGCATAAATCCTTTCTTTTTCTTTTGGAAGGAGAGGGGAGAGAGGAAGGGAAAAGATCTCCTTACATATACTAGAAGTACCTTGCTACCTCTACTTTTTTTAAAACAAGAAGACATTGAGATAATTTAGGAGTTGATGCTGGAGAATAAAACAATTGCAATTTCGTCAAGCCGAAAGACAAACTTCTTTCTCTAAATTTATTCCGAAAATAAGAATAGAGTCACATAGAAGAACAAGCTTACTTGAAAAGCCGTTTTACGTTATTGGAAAAAATAAGAGGGAACGGCGACCGTGCTCAAATCGAACAGGATGTCAGCAGTCGTTTACTGCAGCGTTGTTGCTTTATTTTTGAATTTTCTTAATTTTAGGTGTTATGTTCCATGTACTAAATTTGACATTCAGTGGATTCTGTCCATTGCTCTTATATTGTATTGTTGCAGAAAAATGATTGAAAGACCGGACGATCGCAGAGGATATATTTCACAGCCATGGGAGCGCCCTCCGAGACGGTGATCTCTTTGAAATATTTGTTTTAGTACTTTTTTTTATGCTATAGCCTATTTACTTTGAAGTAAGTGTAGCCGCTGAGTTGTGGCCTAAATTGCAAACAGCAACTGCAATACCCCTTCTTTGCTGCTAGATATAGTTGCAAGGTTTGAGGTTAAATGTGCGCTAACTCTACTATCTCAAAATTAGTTCTTTACTCTTGTCTCATGTAAAAGATAGTGTATTCAAAAATTATATCGCATGTTTGATGCGAGGACGCACAAACTTGATTTTCCTTTTTCGTTCCCCTTTGTGTGGTAATGTGTTGCGTAGTTTACCCAATTATGTTTGTGCTATTACCTCTTTCCTACCCAAAGCGCTTGAACTTTTACTATCTTTTCTTCAGCTATATCAAACGCCATCGCTCGCGAGATTCGCGTGAGCGAGATCATAGGCGAAGACCGGCTCCTTCATTCGAACAACCACTTATCCGCCCTGTGGTCAGGGTAAAGCTATATTTGTAACTCTAAAGCATTCGGAATTTCATCTACTGATCAATATTTTCTATAGGTAAGGAATGGTTCTGATGATGAAGAAGAAATGCTTATGAGTAATAGTGATCCCGATATGTATACGCGAAAGTTGATGGAGAGAAGACATTTTCGCAATCGGTATGTCCTTAGTCTCACTTATGGATAGCGTTAATAGCAAAACTAATTGGGGAGCCATGCTATAATATCCACTAATCGCCATGTAACAGAATTGCTCCACAGTCTGCTGTTTACAGTCGTATTTGTTTTGAATATATTGAATGAATACAATTTTATGTTTGGTCTTTTCTGGACAACGATTGCTGCAGGACTGTTCCTATCTATAACTTCTAACAAGCACCTTGTTTCAAAGACTCTTCCTCAGAATAGTGCTGACCAACTTCCTTTTAGAAACTGTTTGTGTTTTGATCCTGCTCAAATTCAAGTTTTAGATACGTAGATATAATAGATAGCGATCAGTAATTGT